TATCGTTAAAAATATCGTTAAGTCTTCTTTGCGATCCGAAAATCGTTATACTGTGCTTAGAGAATAGCAAAATCGTTAAAATTATCGTTAAGTCATTATAACGATCCGAAAATCATTATAATACGATAGAGAATTGCCCTACTGAGTTAGAGAATCGCATAATCGTTAGCGCAAGCAACAAAATTCGGAACTTTGCGATCCGACAAATCGTTTCGATCAAAGTTACAGAATTGCACTGCTGGTCAATGGTTGATTTAACGATAATTTTAATGATTTCGCTATTCTCCAAGCACAGTATAACGATTTTCGGATCCCAAAGAAGACTTAGCGATAATTCTAAGAATTTTATTATTCGGCGTACTTATTTTAACAATATTCGATCTCGCTGTCGTCGTTAACTACTCGTCAAATCATTAACTAAGCTACGATTATTTTTAAATTGTTAACGATATCGACAAAATATTGTTATTTCACTAAGGTTGAAATAAAATGAAGCTAATCGGGAATTCGCCTAAGTTTTATAAAAATGTAAATGAAATTATAAACAAAAATAGCTTTTGAGCATTTGACATACGTTCTATCCAAAGATGAGGAGGTATTGTACACTTCATAGAAGTCTGCTTCCGGAAGTTGAAGATCGTTTTTACTTGAATGCAAATGAGTTTTTTATAGCCAACTAAAAGGCAGAAAATAACGTGGTAATATAGCTTCTAAATATTTTTTCAGTTATTACACTATTAAAATGCTTAAAGGTAATAGTTGAACGGATTATACGACTTTCTTTGTACTTATTTTCGAGTACAACGCCATTTTTTATCGTTTTCTCCGCAGTAGATGAAAGTGAAAAATATACAAGCAATGGTGATAATATATTTTGGTTTAATTAGTTACTCCATTTTTCATTTTTTTATTTAAAGGCACTAAAAAGATCAACTAATGCAGCAGTTTGACTGGAATGGACGCTTCTCCTCTAGCCGCAGATTTAAAAATACTCGACAAACTTTGCGTTGAAGTAGAACTGGATTTAGGCATTAATTACATTTTGATTCGAATATTCATTTTCTTTTATTGTACTTAGGCATCTTTATATTCGAAGGAGCTGCGATAATGACGGAGGCGTTCGTGGGACTTAGGAGCTGCGTCACCAACGCAGGACACTATTATAGACTTTTGTATATGTGGTATTGCTTACAATATTTTGCAGATTTTTGAAAATGAATGAACAAAAATGAACGAGGACACAAAGAGAGAATGACGTACACGTATACAAATGTAAACATCACGTTTGTCATTTCGGCCTTAAGAAAGTGATAGGAAAATCGTTCTACGAGCTGACGGAATATGTCGTCATGCATTCTTGACATATGTTGGCTCAAATGATCGGAAGCCTACTTGCAGGGATTTTAACAGAGAGCAAATGGTGAGAGTAAATTTTTTTCAATTACTATTGAAGTAACAGAGCTCATTATATTTGTTCATATATAAGTGACCTTTGTCGCAAGATTATAGCGGCGAATGCCAAGTACCCAAGAGTGCGGTACAATTATTTTATTTGGAGCTCCTCTATAGAGCGAAGAGTCATGCATGAAAGTGCAAACCTTAACATGATTTTGTTTTCATAAACTCTGTAATACATTGCAATTCATTTAATAAAAATATTTTCTATAACAAATTTATTTGTTTTTGTTATTCCTCTTTGTGCTTTTCGCATATTTTGACGTTTTGTTAAGCTGTGGTGCCACCTATCCTCCATGTTAATAAAATGGATGTCCGCTGTCGATTATTTTAAAAACTGGGTTAGAGAATCGCATAATCGCACATCGTGTCTGAAAATTCGCAGAATTGCACTGCAGGTATGAAGCCACATTAAGGTCCATTCAGCTTGTTGACGATAGGCTTTAGACTTTTACTCAATACGCTTGAAGGTCCGCATATGCGATGTTAAGGAGGCTTATTCCGCGGAAGTTGGCGTAGACTGTGAGATCGCATTATTTGTAAATTGGGCACTTGGGTTCCAATCGTTGGGAATGTTTTCATCCGACCATTCATGCAGCTCTTCACCGCCGTATATCCACTGGTCCTTGTCGTTTTTTTTTTTTGTTTTTAGCCGGCGATTGCTGTTCGGACTTCTTCATAGTTTCGAGTTCACCTTCTCCGGGTGTATCATTTTCACTGCCATTCAGATGGGTGGAGAAGTTTTCCCTAAATAAGTTCAGTATAGTCTGGGCATCCGTGACTAGCTCATTCCTATGGGACCTACCCTTCCGTTAGTCGCCGTATCTTTTCATAGAATTATCGAAAATTACCCATCTCGGTCAACTTTCAAGCTCTTCAAAGCCAAGCTTTTCTCTTTTTTTTTCCTGCAAATGCGTCCTGCTTCCCTCTTCAGGTCTCGATATCTATCCCACCCCACACGTGGTGTGGTCGATTGTAAGGTTACCAATTAAACAATCTGATTTCACTCCATCACCACACGTCAGTCCTCATCGTACCACCATTGCGACCTTTGCTAAATCCAATAGCTTCATTTGCCTATACGTAGGGAGTTGCTGATAAGAGCTCTCACAGAGGGGGAGTACAAGTCGGCAGTCTGTTGTGATAGCGGCTTTTTGACGTCGAATCTTGCTTGTGTCTGATAAATCAATACTTATGGTAAGAAGAGAAATTGGACGATAGCTGCCAAGCTTTAGAATGGGAACGATTGCGCTTACTTGAGAGAAGGAAACGCGGGAAAAATTTTATTGTAGAAGAAAAGGGCTTAAAAACAGGATAATAAGTTTTATTTTTACAAAGCTGAGAAAAATTAAAACCTATTGTTCAGTTTGACAGCTCGGTAGCAAATGAAACTCAGAAACTTTTAAGAATTTTTTTGGACAAAGTTTGAAACCAGCGCAAGCTATCCTCTGAAAAACTATTTCTAAATTGTCTAGATGTAGTCTTTTAAGCACATGATCCATTTTTTTTTAAAAAAAGACAGGTGCGTTGAAAATCCAAAAGGCGTCGCTAGGAATTGATAATGGCTGTTTCCAGCAATGAATGCTGTTTTCCCCTTATCTTCCTCATTTGCTTCCACTTACCAATAACTACCAATGGACGAGTCAATCCTTGGAAATTGTTAGCAAATTTTCTTTGAAACAATATTTAGTCTGCCATAGACCACACAGAACCCCAACTAGCCATATTTGTTTCTCGTAAATACTCATGCTTTCTCAATGAAACTTTTCGGGGAGATTGACGAATAGGCCTTGCATCACTAGTATTAATGGAATGCTGCTATTCTTGACAAATGTGTTGGCCTGGCCTTATGTTGGTGTTTTTGTGCAATGATGTCTTTCTCCATGTTTTACTTGTCAATGGAATCGCATTATCTCAATGCAGTTCCTCCTCGAAGCTTTCATTTAATACTCGAACTGGAATGCGACCATTCTTTTGCTTGTTAGCCAAGCTTTTATCGATTAGTAGGTCCGGTGAAAAATTTTGTGCTACTTCGACAATCCGCAATTTGTTTGTCATACAATAATCGTCAATCTTTGCTCAACCAACTGACTCTTAATATGTAGGAATCTGTTCGCTGTTTCATGATTTTGTTACGCATGTCGATCTTAATAACGTCGTCAAGCAAGAAGTTTACTTCTATTATGACGTCGTCTACAATCTGCTGAACTATGAACTTGTGTAACGCATCCGTATCTCTATTTCGACTTTTACTTCTTCTACAACATGGGAGTCCTCATGAGTTTCCGTCTTCCCCGCAATGCCTCACTTCTTTAGTGATCAAGTCATATGGAATGATGGAGCTCGATGCGCCTGCATCCATAGTTAGTATTCGCTCATACCCATCCGAGTATCCAGCAATAGTAACGTTGATCGCCAGACAGAGACTAAAGGAAGTTCAACATTACGGGCCAGCACACTCACCTTGCGGCTAGCTCGTGCTAATATAACGACTAAGAAAATGATGGTCCTTACCTATGCGTTTTCGCTGCTCTTCCTGCCTCTTGAAGAAAGTCTTGTATTGCGAAGTAGCTCGGCTTTCCACAAATTAAGCACTGCTTGAATACAAATTTTGTCTTTGATGAATTTTATCTCTTTCACCATATCTGGACTTTCAACTTCTACATGAAACGCTTTGTAGACTGGTCTACTGGGACAGTAGCAGCAAGCGTAGACTTTGGATTCGTATACGTCTCCCGGTCGGTGTAAAATTCCTTAATTTCGCTGATGATGAATTTTTACCCTCTTGAGATACTCTCCAGATGAGTCCAATAGTCAATCTCCAAACTTCGGAAGCAAATTCTTGCAGACAGGCCCAACGAGAGGGGGGGGGGGGGGGGACTTTTCACCCCGGGCCCGTAGATTGCAAGGGGGCCCGGTGTTTTCATTGTCGGATATAGAATAATTTGCTTCTAGAATATCTATGACGTAAAGAACTATCATCGTTCTTCATCAAGCCAATCTCGAGTCTCAGGACTGGCAACGTTATGTTTGGAATCTCAATTAGCTAGAAAACTTAACTTCGGTATTATCATTGAGGAATTTGCATCAGCTAAAGCAAGGAAGGCAGATTTTTGAGGGTTGCTACCTATTAAAATACTATTGTGATGCAAACTAAGGTAATAAAATTGTTTAAACTAAAATTGTTCCAGATTACTCATTCATTTCATTTTTATTCAAGTTCTAGTCTATCTTGTAAGTACAAATAAACATATTTGTTAGATCATGAAATTAAGGTGTTGCTGCTTGCAGAGATTCATTGCGTTTTTGGTTGCGAATTCCTAGCTCCATCTAGTATATTTGCCTCTTGTGCTCACTCCCATACCTGCACTTAAGCGGTGTCATTGTAAAAACAATTTTTGTGCAGTTTGTACGAGGTGGTTAGCGATGCTAATTGTGAGTACGAACAAGGTAATTCACGATACAATGAGTATCAACTGGTATTTTGTATTTCATTCCATAAGTAGGGAGGTTTTTTATTTCGTTGTTTCCTTTAGTAGTTAGGTAGTTACTACGTAGTGAAAGCAGGTCCACCTTAATGTGCGAATGTTGAACAGATATCGACCACGATAAGCTGGGAGTATCGATTAAGAACTTTTATTTACATTTATCAGTTTTGCTATTCATTCTTATGTTTCTTTATTTCTTGCAAAATTGTAGTATCACTACCCTTAATCCTTAAAATATATGTCTAACTTTAAGATTTTAATTGTTTGGTGTCGAAATTTTAGCTGTGAAAATGAGCCGCACTTATGAATTCGGTATAAATTGGTTTCATCCTGGACTTTCAAGGGAGACTGCTGAAAAATTGTTGTTAAATGGTGCGTTATTATGATATTCTTAGCAAATAAAAATATGATTTCCACTTTCATTATTAGAATGCACTGAGGATGGATCTTTTTTAATACGGGAATGCAACTCGGCAGTAGGCGATTTTGTTCTTACACTCTTACACCAGGTAAGCATAACATAATTCCATATATACATATACATACGTACGTATAGTGCATACGGATATTTAATTTATTCATGATTCATTAAATTGCTCTATAGAATAACGTGTGCCATTATCAGATCCGAAGGCATGGTGGGGATGCCTTTTTTTCAATAGATGATAAAGTAAAGATTTTACATGGCCTAGAATCACTAGTTGAATTTTATCAAATGGCATCAAATGGACTGCCGACAAAACTGACAACCTTCGTTAAGAAAGATTTGCCTCCAAACGATGCTCGACGACATGGAAGTACTAATTTGCTTCATCGGGCAACAAAAGAAAATAATGCAACTATTGTTGGAGAGTTATTGAAATGTGGGTACCGCAATGTGGATGCTAAGAACCAAGATGGTCAAACTGCCTTGCATTTGGCTGCTATTCATAGCGATGATGTTATACTAAAACTTATTCTTGCAACCGATGTCAACGTAAATTGCATGGATGCTTTTGGTAATATGCCACTTCATGTGAGTAAATATTTTTTATATACATTTGTTCCTGTATTCTTATTTTGTTTAAATACCTTCATAGTATGCTTGCCGTACGAAACCAGATTTTTTCATACGTAATTTGATTGACGCAAAAGCGAATGTGCAGGGAAGGAACATTAAAAATGGTTATGTACCTCTGCATGAAGCTTCGAAGCATGGAAATCTGGAGGCAGTTAAAGTGTTATTAGAATCAAATGCGCCGCTGTTACCACGTACAACTTCGGGAGAATTCCCAATTGATTTAGCCCGCGAAGCTGGCCAAGATGCTGTTGTAGATTTCTTAAGCGAATTTAAATTGCCAGCCGCAAAAACTAAACGAAGTTTATGGTATCACGGTACATTAACCAGAGAGGAGGCAGTTGATAGCTTACAAAGGTTTATGAGAAATGCTAATCTATCATTAAAAGAAAAAGACAAAGATAGGGAGATATCTTCAGATAATGAAGTAGCAAAAGAGGAAAGTCCAGTTGATAGCTCCGGCTGTTTTTTGATACGTTACTCTGATCGGTCCGGCTACGTTCTAACACTTTTGTTCGAGGGACAGGTCAAAAACTTCATAATTTCCAGATCGGTTAGTTGCGCTTACTCTCTTTTTAAATATTATGAATGCAATAACAATTTATATAATTTTCAGTCAAAGTATTTTTATATTGATGAAGGACCATTTTTGCCTACTTTGGAGCATCTGGTAGAACATTTTATGCATTTTAATGATGGTCTTCCAATTAACTTAAAATATGCAGTACCTCCAGAACCAAAACCGCCACAGCCACTGCTTTCCACACTTCCTCGAAATAAAAGCCATAATAAGAAGCTAAACAATACCAATGTCACAACTGACAATACTGGCGTAGCAGAAACGGTTCCAACTGCTCTCGTATCTAAAAAAATCAAATCAAACGCGAAATCACCACCAGAGAAAAAACGTAAAGATACTGCAAATGTAATACTAAGCAATTTTTTAAAAATTAAATTAAAAGATCCGGCAAACTCAGACGAGAAACCTACGTCAACTGTGGAACCTGGAATATCACAACGTATGATAGAAGAATTTCCTTGTAAAGGGTTATCGTTTTCTTCAAATTTTAGCGAGCTTAGCGTAGAAAAATTGAAACTCGATGCGAATAGTGCGGATGTAAACAAAGTCTCCGCATTGAATGAAATGTACAACGTACCTAAAAATAATACAGCAGTACCAACTCATGATGGCAGTGAAACTGTATTGTCCTACCAAGGCACAAAATATCAGGACAAAGATATAGGCCCTGATGACAGTTATACAAATCGGTAAATATAAACAAAAATTTACTTCTATGTTTTTTTTTTGTTTTGCCTCTCTCCAGGTTCAGTTTTTCATCTAATTGAAAATAATAATCGATTTCTGTTGTCCCCTTTAAAAGCGACATTATTTTTCTGTTTTCGCTTGATGTTTAGCTATATTAATTTGCCTATCACTTAATGTATCTTTGAAAACCATTGTGTGAGGCATTTCCATTTCTCTATTAGTTTGGAAATGTATGAGTTTGCATTTTTAAGAAAAGATGGGTCAATCATAGTTCTGAACTAGAGTCACACTTCCAACACACTTTCCAACTGAAAACGCGGAAACATTATGTTCCTCAACTCATAACATACAGAAGGTTTCCTATCCCGGTACTCAGGGCTGTATTTTGGTAGCCCTGCAGCTTCTTCAATTGCGTCTCGTTCGTCCCCGGCACTAAGATCGGTGCAGCATAGCTTACGACCGGCCGGCCAATTACTTTGTAAGCTGCCCGCAAAGTTTCTTTGTCTTTTCCCAGGAGGTGCCAGCAAGCCTTTTGAGGATTTCGTTGCGGCAATTGCAGTTGTATGCGGAGTAAATGAGTGCAGGCTATCGAATGTGACTTCTAGTAACTTTTGGTTGTTTTTGGGTTGCTCCTCCCACTTTTTCCGAATATGGATGTTTACTATTCACCGAAACTCCTGGTTGAGATCTCTGATGAGGAGATTATAGGAATCAGTGCTACGAATGGAGGCGCGCCTTGATGTTAGAACTGCCGCTTCCGACGGAAAATTTGGACGGATCTCCGCACTTCGACCTGCCGGGATGAATCGGGTTGCAGTGGTCACGACGATCTTGAGGGTTAGTGGCTGAAAAAATTTCCCGTGGTAAGGCACGCCTTGGTAATTGGTCCGATGTTAGTGTCAGTACAGGTCGCCAGGTTTATCAGACCAGCACTCGCAATTGTTATGTCTGGCGAGCTTTGGCATTTATCCATAACGCTGGTGGGGAGATTTGCGTTCACTGCGCAAAATGTCGAATCGTCTATCTGTTCCGCCAGCTCTATTCCTCTACGGTATTTGACCGGCTAGAATGCAAAGATCGTGATGCTAGTTAAAGTCGATCAAAAGCAGGGGCGCAGTCGATTTCGCCATCGATGAGACGATATTGCACGGTGTTGTGTAGGATGAACGCTAAATCTCTACCATGTTGTTGTTGTTGCTGTTGATGTTGTTGTTGTAGCGCTTTGCTAACCGCACTTAGGAACAGGTGTGATTAATCTAAGTCGCCGAGGCCATCTGACGGGAGGTCCAGGAAACGAGCTGTTTCGACGGTGTTGGACCAAAGGAAGTGGAGGGTTAGATGAGTTGGTTTGAGTGAGCATGTGAAGAGGTGGTTAGCGTCGTGCGGAGACTGAATGGCGTTCAGTACAGAATTCATTTATTTACTGGATCTACTATAATATAAGCCTAACAGTAAGAGTACAAATCTTAAAAACTAAATTACAAACATGATAGCTCGAGTTGTTTTACTCTGAGGCATTTTCAAACTACGGCGCTCTCCTTAGAAGGCGGGAACATCTCTTCGCTGCATGCGGGAAATTCTCGGTGGGTTGCATAAAGCATTAGCTAGCGGATTTGGATGATTTCTTAGCTTTGTGAAGTACTTCGTCCTGCTTCTTTCAATTTCAGGCTTAACCAGTAAAATACTAAGGTCTTGATGAATGTTAACGTTATGAACGTACCATGGACTGGAACCTCTGTATATTATCGATATTAGTTGCACAGGTCGTATCCCACAGTTGAATACCGTTCATCCAAATTGGTTTTAATAAGGACTTTGTAGTCTAGTTTTAGACCCGAGTTTTTATTTAAAAACCAATTTAAACTAGCTGCTTTTAATTTCATGTGTAGTATTTTTGCCGCTATGTGTCTCTTCCAAGTGAGATCTGTATCTAAGTTTATAACGAGATATGTAAAACATTTACTTAGGGAATGTTTATACCATTTAAGCGAATTGCAGGACATGATTGCAGTCTTAAAGTAATTGTGACGTGTTTACACTTTTGTTCATTAACTTTAATTCTCCAGTTTCCTAGCCATTTTTCGATGAGGAGCAAATGATCACTACTCGTTTTTGCTGCTCTTTTAGGGCATTTATCCCGGTATAAAATAGCTGTGTCATCCGCAGAGGTAGATGTCTGCACTTTTCCGTTTAATGGGATGTCTGCAGTGTTTATGATATATAAAATAGACCCGAGGACTCTACCCAGCGGAACACCAGCATTTACCGGATACTCCTCACTGATAAATTCAGATTGCTTAACGATAAATTGTCTGTTAGTCAGATATGACTTAAGTATCATACAAAATTGAACAGGCAGAGCTTTATGTATTTTGTACAGTAAACCTTTATGCCAGAATTTGTCGAACGCTTGTGATACGTCAAGAAAGATTGCACAACAGTACTCCTTGAGCTCGAATGCCTTTCTGATTTCATTAGTTATTCGATAGTACTCTGCTTTTCACGAAAGCCGAATTGGTGATCTGGTATCACATTGTTACGATGGAGAAAAGGAGATATTTTTGATAGCAGAATTTTTTCAAATTATTTGGAAAGACTGGGTAGTAGGCTTATTGGTCTGTAAGAAGCCGCCTGTGTGTGGTCTTTGCCTGGTTTGGCTATCATTAATATCTGCGACTTTTTCCACGCGTTTGAAAATTAATATAGTTTTAGAATGGCATTAACGAGTTCAAGAGAGCAATGCTTGTGCAACTCTTGGTAGCTCTATTAGCATTTTTGATGTAATGAGGTCGTGGCCTGGAGATTTCTTTGAATTCAGTTTCTGTATCGCGTTTACCACTTCTAGGCTTGATATTTTAATTGATTTTCCTGGCCGTTAACAGCAAATTCCGGCAGAATAAAATCATTAGTTGCGTCATTTGGCTGGAATACATTACTTAAATGCTTTGTAAAGCAATTTGCCTATTCTTCGTTACTAAGTGTCCAGTTACCATTTGGGTTCCTGATTGGCATATTCATTTCTATCGGAGGCTTAAATTTCTTTTGTGCTTTCCAGAGTGAGTATTTTTTGGCAGAATTTGGCGCTAGTTTTTCTATGTAAGGCTTGGCGTTGTGATCTTCTGCTTGTTTCAGTGTACCTTTCAGCTTCCTCTCTGCTGCTTTCAACCGTAACTTTGCTGCTGGAGAGCGATATTCTTGCCATTGCCATTCTCTGCGCAAACGGCGCTTATTCTTTACTAGTTCTTCTATTTCAGTATTTGTTAGAATTTTTGGGCAACGTAGTAAGCTTTTGACTTTTTGGAGTTGCTATGATTGCCGCAGAAATAAGGACATTATTTTGCTCATTAATGTAGTCAACAATAACGTTTTCACAATTTAATATTGGGTTGATGATGACTACTAGTATATTTTTTATATTTTAGCCAGTTGGTTTTTCTGTTTGCTAGTCATGATTCTTGTACAATTATTTCGGGCTGATACAAGTTGCCTGTCGATTTTTCTTGAGTCAGCAAAGTCTATTAAGTCAGATATTTTCTTCCGATCGGTAGGCCAGTATGTTGGTTGATCTGGGGAAAGACAATCCAAATTGTTAAGTTGGTTTATAATGGTATTGTATAGCTGACGGCCTTTGGGGTTTATTAGACGGGGTCCCCAGTATACATGCTTTGCATTATAGTCTCCTCCTGCCATGAATCTATCACCAAGATTATCAAAAAATTCCTCAAATTGACTTTCTGTGATCTTCGATTTTGGAGGGCAATAAATGGCTGAAAGATTTAGCTCTTTGCCATAATTATTCAAGGTAACTGAGGTAGCTTGTAGATAGTTGGTAACGTAGGGCTATAAGACGCAGTGTTTAAGGCGGTTTCTTAGAAGTATTCCAGTGCCGCCTTGTGCTTTGCCATCAGGATGGTTATTGGGGTAGAATATGTACATTCGCATAAGATAATTTATTTTGATTCATATTTGCACGTTTGGAACAGCTACGGATAATTTTTTTCTACTAATTGGATTTGAGGAGTATTTAACATTTGACTTCGGGATTCTGGATATTATTTGCCAACCTAACTTTTAGATCTTTATATACAGGGCAGCCCCTATGATTGGCAGTGTGATTATCTCCACAATTACTACATTTTTTCATGGTGGCATCATCTTTTTTTAAGGTGCATTCAGACGTGGGATGTAGGTCCCCACATGCTACGCAAACACTGCGCAGTGTGCAGTAAGATTTAGCATGGCCGAATTCTTGGCAGTTAGTGCATTGAATTGTGCCGTTTCTTTTGTGTGACTCTTCTGCTGTTACCCTACGATGTAGCAAATATTTTAAACTGTATATGGGATGGGTTTCGTTTTTATTTATCTGACTTGAATGGGGCTCTAGTTCTACCTTAAACATTGGCTGGGTTACTTTATTTCTATTAGGTATATTTATAACCAATTTATTACTGAACAAACAAGAACTAACGTGCTTGAGACACGTTCGCGCAAGTAAATTGCCGGTGGTTTGGCATTTGCAGCTGTGGTAGTACCCATTACGCTGTCCTTACTTAATAAAGCAAATCGGCTGCTACTGGAGGGTTCTTGGCTTTTTTAATTATTTCCACTCATTTGCACTTTTTTGTTGTTGATGTTCTTAATAGGACTTGATTTCCTCTTGACATTTATATATCGATCTAGTCCTGTCCGTATTATGTTGTTATTTTTTATCTCATCGGGCTTACCGCTTGCCTATTCCTTTTCTTTTGTATTGGAAGGCGATTTCCTGCTGGGTGTTTGCTTGCTGTTACCTTTTTTCTCTTCTGCATGCTTTCTTTTGCCGCTTTTTTGTGTTGGCGTTGTTTGCTCGAAATAAGAAAAATAGGTATTTGAGAGCCTTCAATCCGGCGGGTGTTGCACGTGTTGCTGGATTGTGTCCTTAAGATCTAGTACTCCCTTTATGATGTGCCTAGGTGGAGGTTCAGCTTCCCTGCGGTAGCATCCCAGTAGGAACTGCTTGCAC